TGAAAAGTAGCAGGATTGTCAGCCTGAAGAAGTTAGGATGTGGTAGAGATGGTTGAAAATGTCAAAAATGTAATTGTTGAGCAGGAGACAATGGAAACAAATCAAGTTGAAAGTACAGAACCTTCAGAAAATGAAACTAGCAAAGAAATGGAGCCAGAGATGGAGTTTGAAGTTGAACCAGAAAAAGAATGTAATTCTTTCTCCTGCGAAACAGAATAGTACTAGCGTTGTAGAAATAGAAAAGGAGCTTGAGGAAAATGAAGGAAAGGAATCTGAGCTCCAACCAGAGCCAATCACTCAACCTCCACCCCAAATCCAATCTCAGTCCCAATCCCAACCCCAGCCAATACTTCAGCCCCCACCTCTTTCTCAGCCTGAGGCTTTGCAATTGAGTTTCACAGCCACCACCTCAGGTTTTCCAGGAGCAAGGGCATTCACTACCTGAGAGGAAGGAATTTCCTGTAGAATCTGTGAAACTCAGTGAAGTGCCACCAGAGCCAGTCTTGACAGTGCACATAGACAACAAAGGCAAAACCAAAACTAGGAGCCGAAGCAGAGGTCTGGCTAGAAATAAAAAGAGCAAGAGTAGATGTAGAAGCAGTAGCAATAGTAGTTCTAGTAGCAGTTCAACCAGTAGCAGCAGTGGCAGCAGTTCTAGCAGTGGCAGCAGCAGTAGTCAAAGTAGTTCTAGTAGTAGCTTGAGTACATGTGGCAGCAGCAGCACTACAAGTAGTAGTGAGAGTAGAAGTCGGAGTAGGGGCAGGGGACATAATAGAGATAGAAAGCACAGAAGGAGCATGGATCGGAAGCGAAGGGATACTTTGGGACTAGAAAGAAGTCCCAAATCTTCAAAAGGTGGTAGTAGTAGAGATACAAAAGGCTCAAAAGATAAGAATTCTCGGTCCGACAGGAAAAGGTCTATGTTAGAGAGTAGTCAATCAGGCAAAAGATCTACAAGAAGTGAAAAAGACCGAAAATCAGACAGAAAAGACAAAAGGCATGAATGGAAGAAGCCAGGCTTTCTTAGCCTATACTTGCAGCAGATTTCTTGATGCGTAAAAGGATTACCTTTCCTTGTAAGGAGGATGCTGCCTTAAGAATTGCATGTTGTAAAAATCTTTTTGGAAAATACAGACTTTGTTTAGCAGACATTCTTGTACTTTTTGCATAATTTTGTAAGTTATTTATCAAAATTATGTGAGGTTCCAAAATATGTAAAAATATAACAATAAAAAAGATTAACATACAAAAAAAGGAGAAACTGCTGAATAGTAACCCAAAGTGCTATAACACAATAAAATATTTCCAAAGAAAAATGCTCGGGAGCACAGTCCTATTTCAGACACACCAGGAATTACGAATCACCAGGAATCAAAATCCATTCAACAGCAAATGGGTGGGTGACTGGCAAAGCCACGATAGTTAACAGCCCTTGGCCAGAAACCTGGTTGATCTGATTCTCCACCCTTCCCATTGTTTCCACCTCTTCCCAGGCCGGTCAACACTGTGGTTCCCAAGTTTAGTGAGTCAACTACGGTAGGGTTGCCAGATAAAAGACTGGACTTCGAGTTAAGTTTGAGCCTCATTAGGGAATCAGTGGAGAGGTCTGGGGGGCTGGCCCCAGTCCCAAATATTACATGGACGCCTGCCCTTCCCCCCCAGAAGAATTTATTTCAAAGCACAGCATTGAATCTGCAGCTCCGAAAGAGGGACATATCTGATCGGAGCACATGGGAGCAGATGAAAGGGGAGGAGAGAGTGGAGCACATCCTGGCCCACCAGGCCGTGAGGACCATGATCCCAATTAGAGCAGCCAGTCCACAGAGAGGACCACATGCCCAGCCCCACTATGAGACATGACGTCCCTCACTGGCACACAGTCCTGCAGGGGACAGCACCAGAGACACAGTTTGGGAACTGCACCCGATCTGATCCCACACCTAGGCAAAGCACTGGGGGAGTGCAGCGGAACAGCAAGGGAACGGAGCTGTGAGGTCCCCAGGAAATGCTGAAGGTGGACTTTGGGGCCAGGGCGTGGTGCCCCAACAGACTGGACTGGAAAACACTCCTAAAGGGCAACAAACGATCCTTGAACTAAC